TAAACAGCCTTTGGAAATATTAAATGACATGTACTACATGTCAGCGTCCCTTCACAGGCACCTACGGTATTGAAATATGATTTTATTTAGTTTTGTTAGCGATAAATATTGTTAAAGAAGTTATGGAGATTCTTTCAACTCACCGTAACCATCCAAATCAATTTCGTTATTCACAACAATATCTAAGAGCGTATCTCCTATTTTTCCTTTCGCTTCGATTCTTTCTCCACTTGCTCGTATGAACGTCACTTTTACTCTAAAAAATAAACGTCAATTTACATTTAAAATTTTTCTCAATATCCAAATAATCCATTTAAGAATAAATAAAAATTATCATTTTATGATATATATATTTTATTTTATTTATTTCATCATGGAATTTATTTTGAGTATTCTCTCTGAATACATACTCTTCATTTTTTTCCTGCAGCGGTTGTGTGGTTGAAGCTGTTCTTGCAAAACTTATTCGGCTAGAATTTTTCAATATCGATGGCTTCACTGGTGGCTGAATTTTTGATATAGAGATGAATCGGTGCAAATTCCGAAGCAGTGCCATTGTCGTATACTAAAATGTAATTCCAAAAAAATTTTAATAACATTAAAATGAACACAAGATATTTTTTAACGTTTCCTGTGATGATTGATGATCTTCAAGATGACAGAACATTCTGAACTGGTTCCATGGACAGGTTCTCATTAAAATATTTTCGACCGTTTCACTCCACAGGGCAGAAAGAAAAGGACAGAAAAAAAGTAGTTTTCAGAAAGAAAAACTAGTTTTTCCTTTCCCCAATCGTCTAATTCGATTTCGTAATAATATTCTCAATGGAAACGAGTAATGAATTTCTCGGCATTTATTTTACGTTGATGAATTTTTTTAAATAATTTTTTTTATGATCGTGGAACAGTGGCAAAAAATTATAACAAAATTCACCTAGTGGAACAATCACAAGAATAATTCCAAAAACTTGAAAATTTTACAGATATCCAACGAAACATTTTGGAGTATTCAAATGAATTTCAGGACTTCTAATTTTCACATCAAAAATCGTTAATGAAAATTTATTATTGATGGAAGAAAGTGAAATTGGAGGTTATTTCAACTGCAACAAATAATATCACAACAATTGCAGAGTGCATTATAGATTAAATCATTTTTAGAATATTTTTCGGATTTTAATGGAAGTGAGAATTGGGTGATTTGATTATTTATTTATCTGAAATTACCTGAATATCTAGTCTAACTGAAGATTGAAAACACTTTCTCCTGTTGTCAGTCGTCTTCTACGATCTCTACGATGCATAACTATATATATAGGTGTAAAAAAATGCAACAGTGAAAACTGTAATACCGACGAGTGATCACACGTGATGATGACATGCAATTGCCGCCATTTTTATTTCGAATTCCGGCGGAAGTGTCGCGTAGTCTTCGGCGTTTTAACATTTTTTTTTAGGATTTCCATAAAAGTGAGAATTGGGTAATTGGATTATTTATTTATTTGAAATTATCTGAATATTCATTTATTCTAGCTGATGATTAAAAACATTATCTCTTACTGTCAGTCTTTTTCTACAATGCATAATTAAATAGGTTTAAGAAAATTTGACTGTGACAACTACAATTGTCGAAATCATTTCGTCATTTTTATTTTGGAATTCAAAATTTTTTAAGCTTTTCTGTGAACTGGATATCTGTGGGAGAAATATACATCGATGCTACACGATTTCACGGACTCAATTTGATCGGATTGTTGAGCCCATGGGGATTTCCACTGATTCACTGATTACCTATTGAATAATAGGGAATATATCCAAATCATCGAGGGATCTCAATTAGAATCTGTCGCACATTCCGTCTCAAATTTTATCTTGAGATTGACGCTACGTAGTCGTAACGATATCACAAATTTGTGATTAATTTTGAAAATTATACGTCGATCAATTCGATAAAATCGTCTTATCAATCAATGGAGTTTCCGTTCCTGTCCCTAATTAGATTTTGGATTCATGATAAAACAGGTTATCGGTGTGAATGATTACTTCGCAATACAATTCAAGTATAAAAGGGAAGGATTTGAAAAACTATCGATATTACTTTTCCATGGGTTTGATGATGAAGGTCTTGCTATTAATCACCATTCTGTGCTTAGCCTTTGTGGCTAATGGTAAGTTTAATCAATAACAATAATTTTTAATTATTAACATGGAATACATATTTTTGTTCAATTTATTCTCCGATTTCTATTGAAAATTTTGTAAACTGTAGTCCTTTAATATTAAAGAAATGATAAATTATTAAAGATATGATAAAAAATATTGTTATCTATCTTCAATTCCGCGATACTAACGAGAATCTGAAAAAAATCCGGAAAGAACTGATTTATCCTAGTTTATCACTGGATTACAGAATTGGTGAATTCAGAAGGAAAGATAATGAATAAAAATTTATAAATATTTTTTTACAGCTCTTCCACCCCAGCGAATTATCGGAGGATCTCAAGCAGATGACGGGAAATATCCTTACCAAATATCATTACTTTTTCGTGGAAGACACAACTGCGGAGGTGCCATTATCCACAAACGTTACATTCTCACTGCTGCTCACTGCGTTGAAAGGTAAACATTATATTTTTAATATTCAACAAAAAGATTTATAAAAACTACAAAAAAAAAACTAGTGGGATATGATTTATGATTCCATATAAAATTGTCAGTTTTGCTAATCAATGATCAGCCATTTCATTGAACATTGACAGAATAATTCGTATCGCGAAAAACCGCTGGAATATTTTTAGACTGCCTTCAAAATTTTTTGGCGAAATATCTCCCCTACAGAAATAACATTTTCCGACTTTTTCGGTCATAACGGATTGATATACCACAAAAAATACAAAACTCCAATTTCATCGATTAAAATTCTCGCATTCGGAAGTAAAAACTAAGAACATTGTGTTCTATTCTACTTATCCTTAGAAATGCAATAATTAATCAGATAGTGTCATTAAACTTACAGGGTTGAAGCATCATCATTGAGAATTGTCGTTGGAACAAACGACTGGAAGAAACCAGGTGATCAATATAAGATTGAGAAAATCATAGCTCATGATTTTAACGCTTCAGCTCTTAATAATGACATCGCTCTTCTGAAGACCACCAAAGAAATAGTCTTCAGCAAAAAAGTTCAACCCATCAACATAACCAAAACAGATATCAGAGAGCATGGGCATGCGGCTGTTGCCACCGGATGGGGAAGACTAGCAGTAAGTGGAAGAATTAAATAATGAAATCGACAATCCTATTGAAGATAAATTGCAGATCTATTGAAAATTATAGCAGCAGATTTTTTATTAATGATTAATTATGATCTTCATTACAGGCTTGGGGTGTAGCGCCCTCGAAACTTCAAGAAATTCATCTTCAGATTTTCGACCACAAGAAATGCAAATTACGCTTTCCAGTTACCGAAGGACAAATTTGCACACTGACGAAATACGGCGAAGGTGTATGCAACGTAAGTTTATTTTTTCTTACAGTCATCTCTTACAGTCAGAGAGACAAATAATTTTCAATAAAAAAAAATTGCAGATTGATGATTGATTTCATATAATTCATTGTAATGAAATTTTCTTTCAATTCATTCATTGATAATTTGAGATTACGACAAACATAACGATTTTAAAAATGATTATTTAGGGTGACTCTGGTGGACCACTTGTTGCTGATGGATTCCTGATCGGTGTTGTATCATACGGTGTTCCTTGTGGCAGAGGACAACCCGATGTATACACGCGTGTGTATCATTATGCTGATTGGATCATCAACTCTATCAAGAATAATTAGAATATTTGAGGAGGGAAAACAGAAGGTCAGCTTATTTTACAAATCTCCACGTCCACAGTCAATTCACAGTACAAATGTATTTTCAATAAGAGACATCTATTTGATTAATTATTGATTATTAATAAATAAAATGTAACCAAACGGCAAGCGACTCATTAGTTGCTCTTTCTCTCACAATCACTCATTCCTGAAAATTTTTCAATGATAATCCGTTTAGAATTAAATCAATGATGACATCCAGGTACACGAGCACAAACTCATATCATAATATTTATATTATGATATCAGTTTGCACATGGAAAAATAATCTCAGCGAGTCTCTGGCGATCTCTCTGAGATAATCGTAATTAATTAATCCTTTAGATTTAATCTTCCTACAGAATTAATCGTACCTCCAGTCCGTGCTTTAAATTTAGTAACGAAATCGATCGATTTCGACGTTTGACTCGACGGGAATCCCGTTATCAATGGAACTGAATCGACGGAACTGAAATCATCTAATCAGCTCATGATCTTCCTTAGAATTTCGGACACGAGGAAAAAAAAGGAGTCATTGGGGATTTCCGTCTATTTATGTTCTCACTCATCATTACTTATTTCAATAATTCTTCAAATCGAAAGATTTGGCGAACATTAACAAGCATAAGTATGAAACGATTTTTGAAATTGGGTACTGATAAAAAATCCTCCGCTTTTGAAAATAATTATTACATTGAAAATATTTAAATATTTAATTTTCTCATAGTTAACTCTCAACACGTATCGAGTTATCACGAATCGCGATTGACTACTAAATGTTCGAAATAATTAATCTGATTGGTAAACGATTTTCCGTTTGCGATTATCTAGATCTATGATGAATGCGCAGTAAATTTTATGTATAAAAGAGAGAAATTTGACAAGCTAGGAGTATAACATTTCAAGCAGCGAGATGAAGTGTTTCCTGTTGATGAGCATTCTGTACTTAGCGTTTGGCGCCGAGGGTGAGTTTATTAAAAAAATAGAAATAAGAGGATAAAATAAATAAGTAAAAATAAATAAATATTTTTATAGCTCTCCCAAGCAGTCGTATCATTGGAGGCAGTGATGCAGAAGATGGGGCATATCCTTACCAAATCTCTCTACTCTACAAAGGAAAACATAATTGCGGAGGTGCAATTATCCACAAACGCTATATCGTAACTGCTGCTCACTGTGTTCAAGGGTAAATTTTTTATTCTTTTCTCTTCCCTTTCTGTCTTGTGTCTTCCTGAAAATTTATACAAATTCGTTCACCATGTTCTGAATAAACTTAAATTTTATAAATAGAACAAGTACTCAATCCTTGGCTATCGTCACTGGGACAAATATCTGGAAGAGACCAGGGAAGCAGTACAACGTGGAAAAGATTATATCCCACCGCTTCAATTCTCGAACTACTGCTAATGATATTGCCCTCTTGAAAACAACAGAAGACATCATCTTTAATGCAAAAGTCCAGCCTATAGAAATCCCACAAAATGACATCAGAAAACATGGAACATCGGTCGTTGCAACTGGATGGGGAAGACTCTATGTAAGTATCAATTAAAAATAATTAGGTCTGCGTAATGTTTCCATTTTTTTCAAGAACAGAACCAAATGAATTAATTAATTCAGATTAATTCAGCGAATTAAATATGATGGTAATTCAAATGAATTAATTTATTTGGATTTGCAAAAAACTTTTATGCGCACATTATATGACCTGATTTAAATATAAAAATATGAACTTAAACGATTGAAATGTTTTCTTCAAATTCAGGCTTCGGGCCCAATTCCTGACAGGCTCCAAAGAATTGATCTCCAGCTTTACGATCAAAAACAGTGTGCTCGTCGTTTTGCTGTCACCGAGGGTCAAATTTGCACATTAACTAGAACTGGCGAGGGTGTATGCAACGTGAGTAGCTCTTGTCAGTGATAAATGCGAGTTACAAAGGAAATTTTTTTTCTTCTGAATGAAGGCCTTGTGTTTGACTGTTTCTTTTATTCTGTAATTTTTTTAATTGGTTATTAGGGTGATTCTGGTGGACCTCTTGTTGCTGATGGTGTCCTACTGGGGATAGTTTCTTATGGAATTCCATGCGGGCGTGGCCAACCGGATGTCTTTACTCGTGTCTATCATTATGTTTCTTGGATCGCAGAACACATCGAAGAATATTAAAACACAGTCGGAATGGAGGAAAGGAAACAGTGATAAAATATAACTTTGTGGATTCCTTAAACTCATCAATAATTAATATATTGATTCTCCGTTTGGAAAGCTTGGAACACCCTCAAATGAATAAAAACGCAGTGTTTACATTTACGTTGTAATTAATTAGGCTGTCATTAATCGTCCCTTTGATAAATTATGCTTTAATGAATTTATAAGCGGAGGTGATACCGGTGGTGCGTGAGAAACTGAATTCGTATTTCTTGTCCTTTTTTCTTTCTTGTTCTTGAATTTATCATATCTGATAAAACTTTTCCAGAATTATTCAATTATTTTCTAAGTTAACATAAAACGTGCAGAATTATACCCAAAGAGGATTGACTGAAGTGGAGGCTCAGTTCTGGGGGTTTGAGTGACCCCAGCGGCATCGTAGCACTGCACCCCAAGAGAGGGAGGGTGCAACACGCAATGCTGGGGTGTCCATCAAGTCGAAGGGGTGAATTTTATTTTCTGCGGAATGAATGCTTTTTGTTTTTTATTTGTTTAACTGAAATTTAGCCGACTGTAGACGAGCGGAAGGGGGAAGCCACATTTTGTTGTATTTCAACTGGAAAAAATTATTCAATATATTGAAGATATACTACTAATGAAATTATATTTTTAAAATAAGTGCGTTGGCTAATCGGCAACGTGCTTGGCTATCACGCCGATGGCTGGGGTTCGATCCCGCCAACATTAATTTTTTTTTTAAATAATTCCTATTTTCTTTTTGTAAATGACTAATCATTCGAAATATCGCCACACGCAATGGGGGTGTCTGCCCATCAGCCGACTCGGTAACTTTTGTGCCCCCATGTGACCCTTAATCAAGTCCAATTAACCCTTAACCAAATCCACTAACCCTTAACCAAGTCCAATTAAGCCTAAACCAAATCCACTAACCCTTAACCGAATCCAATTAACCCTTAACGAGGACAGTTAAAGTTCCAATTAACCCTTAACGAGAACAGTTAAACTTTAACTGTTC